GGGCAAGAAGAGGGACATCAAGGCGGCCACCCCCGATGACAAAGTGGACCAGAAGCTCAAGTCCTCCCTCAAGCTCTACCAGTGAGTTGCCGGGGGTGGGTCGGCCGTGGGGGCATCTCGCAGGGTGCCAGAGGGACCCAGCACCCAGCTCTGCTATGTCCCACAACTCCCCTCCCCATGGACAGCCACCAGGAGGGGTCAAGGCCAGCGCAGGGATGGGGACAACGGTGGATGCCGTTGGAGCAAGGGGAGTCCCTGTGCCAACAGGGTTGGTACCTGATGGGGAGATGCTTGTGCAAGCATGACCTTTGGATACGGTGGCAATGTCCCTGAGTGGCCCCATCACATCTGACACCCCTTTGTTCCTCCTCATGGCTATGAGTGAGCTGCATGGCAGGGCAAGCTGCAAACCAGGTTGCCACCATGGCAGGGCAAGAGGGTCCCTGGCTACCACCTCTGCCATGATCAGGGTGGGGAAGGGGATGGGGAGGGGACACCCCCACCCAACCCTGCCACTCCAAGGTGGGGATGGGGAGCGGGTTTTCCAGCCCCATTTCTAACCCCTCCTCCTCTCTTTTCCCCTGCCAGCCTCTCCAATGCCGGTGGGAACCTGGTCGTACAGGAGGTGGCAATTCGACCCCTGACTCAAGACATGCTCCTGCATGAGGTGTCACCCATGGGATGCTGGGGGGTGCCCAATTTCCTTTGGTGGGCAAAGCCCACCAAATCGGCTTTTGAAGGGTTAAAGCTGCCCAAAGTCCTAATTTCTGCTGTTGTCCCCCTTCCAAGGACTGCTACATCCTTGATCAAGGAGGCCTCAAGATCTTCGTGTGGAAGGGCAAGAACGCCAACAAGGAGGAGAAGCAGCAGGCGATGAGCAGGGCGCTGGTGGGTGCTGGGTTAGGGGTTGGTTATGGGATAGCCTGGCTGCTCCCTGGGGTGCTGGGCACCCCATGCCCATGTTCTGGGTCCGAATCCCCCCAGGGCTTCATCAAAGCCAAGAACTACCCGGCCAGCACCAGTGTGGAGGTGGAGAACGATGGGTCCGAGTCAACCATCTTCAGGCAGCTCTTCCAAAAATGGACTGTCCCCAACCAGACCAGCGGGTTGGGCAAGACCCACACTGTGGGCAAAGTGGGTGAGTGTCTCCTTCCAACGCTGCAGGACTCCTTGGGTTGGGATGGGGGAGCTGTGGGGACCTCCATGGCCAATGGGATGTGGCTCAGCCCTCTGCCCTTCCCCGCAGCCAAGGTGGAGCAGGTGAAGTTTGATGCAACCACGCTGCACGCCAAGCCCCAGATGGCCGCCCAGCAGAAGATGGTGGATGACGGATCCGGGGAGGTGGAGGTAGGGTGGCCGGGGCAGAATGTGGGACCCTCTTGGGGCACCCCCCTGGTCTGTACCAGGGGATGCTGTGGGGTCCAGGGGCTGCAGGGCAGGGGGATGCACCAGCCCTCGAAGCAGCACATCCCCGTCCCCATCCCACCAGGTCTGGCGCGTGGAGAACCAGGAGCTGGTGCCCGTGGAGAAGAAGTGGCTGGGCCATTTCTATGGTGGGGACTGCTACCTGGTGCTCTACACCTATTTCGTGGGGCCCAAGGTGAACCGCATCATCTATCTCTGGCAGGTGAGACCCCCAGGTCACTGACCCGTGGGTGGGGGACACGGGCACCTCCCCGGACTGGGGGTGCTCTGCCCCTATGCATGACCCCATGGGAACAGCATGAGGGTTCCCTCTTCCCAAGAGGGAAAAGGGGGCCGTGGTGGGCACTGAGCCCCTCTCTGCCCTGCCCAGGGCCGCCAAGCCAGCACGGACGAGCTGGCCGCCTCCGCCTACCAATCCGTCATCCTGGACCAGAAGTACAACAATGAGCCTGTGCAGGTCCGCGTCACCATGGGCAAGGAGCCAGCCCACCTGATGGCCATCTTCAAGGGCAAGATGGTGGTGTACATGGTAAGCACAGGGCTGCTGGGGGGTGGGGAGCAGGCAGGCGGGTGAGCCTGCAGCACCGGAGGTGACCTCCTGTTTCCGTCCCCCCAGGGTGGCACCTCGCGGGCGGGCAGCAAGGAGCCCACACCCTCCACCCGCCTCTTCCATGTGCATGGCACCAATGAGTACAACACCAAGGCCTTCGAGGTGCCCGTCCGTGCCTCCTCCCTCAACTCCAATGACGTCTTTGTGCTCAAGACTCCCAGCTGCTGCTACCTCTGGTATGGGAAGGTGGGTACCGCCGGGCACCGGGGTCGGTGCTGCCACCCCCAAAAGAAATGTCCCCATCTCCTCTTCCTCCTCCTTGGCCGGGGCCGGTGATGGAGCAGTTGTGCTTGCTTGGCAGGGCTGCAGCGGGGACGAGCGTGAGATGGGCAAGACGGTGGCTGACATCATCTCCAAGACGGAGAAGCCAGTGATCGCAGAGGGACAGGAGCCACCTGAGTTCTGGGTGGCCCTGGGGGGCAGGTCCCAGTATGCCAACAGCAAGAGGTACCAGCCCTGTGCCCAGGGGTCCCTTGTCCCTACCCACCCTCAGGGGTAAGATGGGCCACGAAATCCCCAAGTGGGGTGAGCCCTGTTCCCACCACCATCGCTGCGTTGCCCTCGCCAGGCTGCAGGAGGAGAACCCCTCTGTGTCCCCGCGACTCTTTGAGTGCTCCAACAAGACAGGCACCTTCTTGGCCACGGAGATCCTAGACTTCACCCAGGACGACTTGGAGGAGGATGACGTTTACCTGCTGGACACCTGGGACCAGGTGAGCTGGGGGGGCACGGGGTGGGGGGACACCTTTGATCCCACAAGCTGATGTCCCCAGGGTGGGTGGGGGACCTGCAGCAGCCAGAGGTGGCAGGATGGGAGGCTGGAAACCCCCATGTCCCTGGCCCCACGCTGTTTTTTTCCAGCCCCCTGGCTCCAGGGCTGGCTGAGTGGACTCCCAGCTCCAACAAGACAGGCACCTTCTTGGCCACGGAGATCCTAGACTTCACCCAGGACGACTTGGAGGAGGATGACGTTTACCTGCTGGACACCTGGGACCAGGTGAGCTGGGGGGGCACGGGGTGGGGGGACACCTTTGATCCCACAAGCTGATGTCCCCAGGGTGGGTGGGGGACCTGCAGCAGCCAGAGGTGGCAGGATGGGAGGCTGGAAACCCCCATGTCCCTGGCCCCACGCTGTTTTTTTCCAGCCCCCTGGCTCCAGGGATGGCTGAGAATGGACTCCCAGTGTCCTTCCCCATGGACAGATCCTGTGTGCCCCCATCCATGGGTTGGGCATGGCCCCAGAGGGCCCCGTCTCACTCCAGTGCTGGACACAGTGACCTCGTTGCAGGTTTTCTTCTGGATTGGGAAAGGCGCCAATGAGTCGGAGAAGGAGGCAGCGGCGGTGATGGTGCAGGAGTACTTGCGGAGCCACCCCAGCGGGCGTGACCTCGAAACCCCCATCATCGTGGTGAAGCAGGGTCACGAGCCCCCCACCTTCACCGGCTGGTTCCTGGCCTGGGACCCTCTCATCTGGGCCGTGAGTCATGGAGGGGACTGGAAGGACCAGGAGGCCCCTTCACAGATGGGACCAGATGTGGATCTGGCCCCAGCCAGCATCTCTGGGGTGCGGGCAGCGGTTTGCCTGATCCCTGCCCGTGGTGAGGGGCTGAGTGCTTTTGTCCCCTTCCCAGGACAAGAAATCCTATGAGGCGCTGAGAGCCGAGCTGGGGGGTGAGAGCAGCCTCGGGCAGCTCACCTCAGTAAGTGGCACAGGGAGAGGGAGCAGCCGGGGTGGGTGGGAAGGGGCACAGAAAGCCCCTCTGTCCCCTTGGCAGGTGGCACGAGGAGCTGCAAGGACATGTCCTCTGGTGAGGGGACACCTGGAGCCAGCCCCGTGCTTCTGTCCCTGGGGCAGCCCCTGACGTGACCCTGTACGCCCCATCTAGGTGCTCACATCCAAGCAAGAGGTCTTCACCACCACCACCACCCTCCTCCCTGACAAACTGGAGACCTTCCCCCTGGACGTGCTGGTGAACACCTCGGCCGAGGACCTGCCGCAGGGTGTGGATCCCAGCAGGAAGGAGGTGAGACGAGGCTGGGGGGCTGCTGGGGGGGACCAGGGGAAGCCCCCCAGCTTTAGCTCAGCCTCCTCTCTCCTCCCCCAGTACCACCTCTCCGACCAGGACTTCCAGGCTGTTTTTGGCATGAACCGCTCCGCCTTCAGCAACCTGCCCTTGTGGAAACAACAGAAGCTCAAGAAGGACAAAGGACTCTTCTAGGGCAGGAGCCTGGGCACAGGGACAACCCCAATTCGTTACTTTTATTAAATAAAATGGATTGGGAGAGCAGGGCTGTGTCTTCCCCCCCCGACCCCTGGGCTCAGCCCAGGCGTGGGGCTTATTTGGCAAAGAAGAGGTGGCACGCGGGGGGACAGGGGTCTTGACCGGGCACCGAGGCAGCGCAGGGAAGGACCCTCAGCTCCTTTTCCCCGGGTCCTTCCCTTGCACCCCCTGCGCTCAGAGGCGATGCACAAGCTGCCCACCCCCTGGGCACCCCCGGGGAGCCAGGGCTCCCCCATCCCACCCCAGCAGCTGCAGCTCGGGGCTAAAGGTCTGATATAAAGCTGGAGCCGCTCCCTCCTTTATCGGGTGAACCTCAGTAAACATGCGCGGTACCAAAGGTAAAAGCAACAAGCCACACACTGACGGGGTGGCGCGTGTGTGGGGACGGACACCAGGGATCACTTGTCCTTGCCCCAGGAGGGGAGGAGGGCATCTCCCTCCCGCTTGGGATCCACAGGGACCCGGGAGAGGGGCTGGGGGCTCCCCCGCAGGGACGCATCTCTGGCGGGGGGACCGGGATTTGTATGTGCCAGGAGGTGCTGAACACACACACACACGATGTTCCCGGGCAACTGAGCAAAGTCCCAACGCCCAACGGGGGGTGGAGGTGCGGTGCCCATCGTCTGCAGCATCCAAGAGGCAGCAGCCCAGGCAGCGTGGAAATAAGATCCCAAACCAAGAGAGGGTTAATAAAGAGGTTTTAATTTCACAAAAATCTATCTACACATCATTTAAAAAGGGGCAGGGGGAACCCAAGAGCAAAAACTGTAAAGAACAGAGAGGAACAGGTCTGCTAAAACACAGAGAAAAGTGCTGCTCCACATCAACAGTGTAAAGAACCAGAAAGTCAGGGTGCAGGCAGAAACCGGCAGCGGCCACCCCGCAGCAGGCAAGGCTGGAGTCCGGCAGCAGAGCTACACGGACAGCAGCTGCCAGGGCTCCCGCACCCCTTTTTCTCTCTTTGGCGGGCAATTACAGGGATAATTAGCTCCATTAAAAAGAAAACAAAGCAGATGAGTTATTCCCAGCCCCCCCCCTCCCCGAAGCACGGTGATCCCCACGTGCCCCGTGCCAGGGTGAACCACAGCAGGAAGCGCTGGGCTGGCCATCATCAGCCCTTCCTCGGGATGCGGGATGGGAAGGAAGATGCACGGGCAATGGTTATCTATGCTGCAATGAGCAGGAGGTGGAAGGCGATGCCATGGCCACAGGCGTCGGAGAGCCCCGCTCCTCCTCCTGCTGAGCTCCTCGCATCGGTCTCAGGCTGCCACTCCGGTCGGGAAGCCAGTCCTTGCTTTGCAAAGGCTCTTTGTGCAGCCCCGCTGGCCAGGCCTCCCCAGGGACCCACGCACACAGGCTCCAGTTCACTGACACAAACGGTTTTGCACCTCTCAGAGTAGGGGAGTAAATCAAGACCAAATTACCACAGTCAAACAACGAAGGGGCGAGAGGAACGGCAGCCTGAGAACAGCCTTGCGTTTATGTGCTGAATCACACTTGGACTAAACTAGGCTGATTCAGGAGCAGGTAAATGTTTAACCGTGACTCTGTACATCTGAGGGAGAGCCTGCACACGTTCAGGGACCGCAGCTGAACTTCTCCAGCTACGTATACCCCAGGATGGGTATCCCACCTGGAAGGGACGACCTTACCGAACTTGCTCCTGCGACAGCATGAGCAGTGGGAACGTTACAGCCGGTGGGCAGCACACCCCTTGAGGATTACACACCCGTCTTCCTCCCCGCTGCTCTTGGACAGGGAGAAAGCTGGCTGCTGCAAGGAAGGGGCTCCACAGACACTCCTGCCAGGGTGAAGGTGCAGCCGAGCTGCCGTATGCCAAACAAAAAAGCTTAAATTAATTAATAGATGTCTGCAAATTCTTAATGGCTAGAATAATAGCAAGAACTTTTCATAAAACAAGGAACGCTGGTTTCAAGCATCAGCTTTCGCACCTTGATCCAAACAAAAACCGGTTTTATACAAAAGTTACTGCACTGAAAAGTCAGGCAACGTTTGCTTTTATTATAAATTAACTGGAGTGCAACGCCTTGCAAAAACAACCTTGCCACCAAAAAAAGCAGAGCTGACTTCTGACACTATAGGAATACCGGTTATTTACAGCACTAGCATAGGATGCGCTTGGGGAAAACAGATTTGCCCTCTGGATGGAGCAGTCCCTTCATCACATTCGCAGGGGCGATCAGTTCAAAGGACAACTCCCACGTCACTGCCTCTTCCCATCGCCCAGAATTCTACCAAAAATTAGTATCGACAATAGAAAAGTATAACGCTTTGTAATAAATTAACATATACACCCACACCGGCTGCATCTTACAAGGTAAACGCTCCGTCGTGTTCACAACCAAATGTTCGCTCCTAGCTCGGAAACCAGAAGGATGTCACCCTGACCAGGTCCACCAGGCTCATCCCACACGTGGGCTGCAAGGTCAGTGGGTCTTTTCACCACGCCGGGGTCCCCCGGCTTGGGGGGGGGTAGCGGCGGCTGCCGCTCACCGCTGCGCACAGAGGTGAGAAGCGGCCACTGAGGTAGCATCCCCGTGCCAGCCCGCTAGGATAAACTCTAGTGTGGAACTGCCCATGAAAGAGGTGCCTGCTGTCTCCTAAATCGATGGTTTTGTCTGCTTTGCTTCAGCTGATTTATTCCTGAGAAACTCCTAACGACAGTTTAAAAAACCCAGAAACTATCTCGACAGCAAAAAAGGTGGTTTTTTTGTTTTGTTTTGTTTTTTTTTTAAAAAGAAGTATTTCACCTCTAAAACTCAAGCTGCAAAAATAAGAACTAGAGGCCAAAACAAGAGCAACTACTCTGCTTAACAGCAACAATTTCTCTGAAATGAGTAAATGCCAGCGAAAGGAAACATCTGCCCCTGCTAAGTAAGTGTGAAGGTGCTGAAAAAACCGAAGTCACTAGGCTTTCCCCCCCCTGCTGAAACAAGCTATAAGAGAAGCATCACGTCTCTAAATCCAATAAAACGCAACGCTTCCTCCTAACCGTGTTCTGTTAATGCTGAACATGGGCTTTCTGAAAGCTTTCCACCTGGTTTAGTTTCACAGTTTGAGCGCTCTGCACTCCTCAGAAAGGAGAACAGAGGCATAGCTGCAGTAAAAACCCTCTTACCCTGGGATACGAGAAGACCAAGGCAAGACCATGGCTCAATCAAAGAGCAATTCAAGTGCCAAGCGCCACCCTGCAGACCCTGCCTTTCCCCACCGTTCCCGATGACCCAGGCCTGTGCAGAAAAGGTAACGCTGAGAACGCTCCTTCCCTCCCAGAAGATGACAAGTGGCTGCTGCTCACCTCCTGCTACTGCCCTCAGTCTGCTCCAGGCGTTCGCCTGCCCCCAGTTACATCGAAGCAGCCCTAAGCAATATAACTTCAGTGGAAATACTGCACGCCCAAAGAGAGACCTCTCCTCTCAAACGGTCCTTATGCAACAACCTTATGAAGAAATGCAATCAAATAATTGAACTTGTAAAACAAAAGAAATCACAAATATAATCTCACGTCTAAAGGAGGATGACAGTGAATGGTGTAAAAAAACAACAGAGCTGCCACCAGGTATGCAATACATTCCACAGCACCGACAGTTTGTTTCCTGGAACCGCATGTAAATAGCGGAGCTCTTACAAACCCATGAATGTCAAAACGCATCAGCTTGAGTGATTCCAAAATGCCTGCTAGCGAGATGACCGGCAAGAGCGTACTCAGTGATCTGGGTTTCCAGTGAATATTACTAACACAACACACGCCAGGTTACAGAATCTATTGCTTAAATTGCTCTTGGAGAAAAAAAAAAAAGCCAAGTGATATGTAAATCTTTGCCACTCACGTCTCACGGGTGAATGGGCTTTTAAAGTCGAGTCTCTTTTTGCACTATTTTTTTTTTAATTCAGTTTATGAGCAGCTGTAGTCTTGTGGCTTGATGCAACTCTTTAAGGCTCCATGCTGACAAAATTATTTGAGGAACAATAAAAACTTCACCACAGGAGGGTCGCTCTGGGATGTTCAAGGTTTAAACGCGTGGTTCAGGCCCAGGACTCGCACAGATGGTTCAACAAACCGGGCGTCCCATATTTCTACCTTTTGTCTCTTGTTTTGGCCCTGAGCTGTTTGTTACTCCTGTGTGTCTGGCACAAGTTCAGAATCTTCCTTGTTCCTCAGGAGGAACAAGGTGTTTTACTCTTCACAGAGGCTGACGAACCGATCTTCCTACTTCCATGCTAAGTGGCTGTGCATTTTTTTCTGTTTCTAGTAACTCATCGAAGATATCCCTAGAACAGAGGGAAAGACCAATAGTGAAACTTATGTACAACAACAAACTGCTACATAAGACAGCCCTGAGGGAATCAGCAACTGGATTTAATCCACAGACTCAAGCGTCACAGATCCTGGCAGAGAAAGGTGTCTTATCTGGCATCTCTAAGCAAGGCTCCTTGAATCCCACAGCACCTTTTTTTCATTTATTACAATGAATAAGGTCGGTGGTAAGCCTCAGAGAACAGTAACAATAGTGAAAATAACTCCTGGCTGGTAAAAGGATCAGAAGCAACACAGGACACAGTCTGTAGATGAAGTAATATCCTTTATTAGAGCAACCAGTAAAGACAGAAGAAGGGGACAAACAGGCACAAAACCCCTTCTTCAGTTCCGTGTCCCTGAAAAGCTATCACTTCTACCTACACACCTTATCTTGCCCATGTCCTGAGATGACCATGGCTGCAACAACACAACTGCTAGGAGCAGGGATAAGGGCATTTACAAATGTCACAGCACTTAAGGAAAGAACTCAAGCTCCATTATGATTCCTGGTGCAACGAGCGCATAGCTGAGACAGTGAATCCCCTTCTTAAAGATGATTTAATGCATCTTGTTAAAACCCTGTGTATTAGTGACATACAATTCCATGCCTCTGAACTCAGAGCACTTCAATTTTGTCATTCTTCCATGTAATTCTGACCACGATTTCTTCTTACAAATACATGGAGACACTTTTCATCCCAGCAGAGGACTAGAGGAAGAAGAGAAACCCAATTCCTCACAAACAGCAGGTAATTACTAGCACCGAAATTCCCCAAGACACCTACTTGTGCATGTAGAAGAAGATGTAGCCGCTTCGGTCTCTGTCACACTGAACGGTGGCCTCTAGAGTTCTAGACACTTCCAGGTCATTGTAGGTGAACCAGGACTGCTTCTTGATATCGTAGACATCACTGATATAATGACCTTAAAAACAGAGAATGCACCTTTCTTTTCATGCTGCAGTTCAACCAGTAAGCTGGTCAGCTAGATACCCTGGTCCAGCAACCTGTGTCAGATTTAAATGCTAAAAGACCCTTCAGACCCTGCTCCCTCCATCATTCCTGGTCAATGAGCTGGTAACAAGCACAAGCAATTCCATGCACCCCATAAAGCAGTATTTTGTCCATGTGCTGCAGTTAGGCACCATGACATCCCCAACCTGCTCCCCTACCAGCAAGATGAAAGACTTGTTTTGCTGCCTGAATTCTTCTCTGCAAATAATCCTGCTACGGTAATTCTGTATCACAGATTTTTAAGATAGGTAAGAGGTGAAGAATAAAATATGGTATCTTTTACCTGATGATGATGTGCTTCCGATATGGCTGACAATGCTGATGAGGCGATAGGAGTGAGGAAGCTCTCCTGTCTGAAAATAAAGTCCAATTAAAGCTTTTAGGCATTCACTTTTGTCCCACGTAACTTATGGACAAGACAATTTATACACCTGAGATATGGGCTTTGGCTACTGTATTCAAAGCTGCAACCCAATCAAAGATTACAGAAACAGACCGGTTCAGACCGAATAAGGAGTCCTTCCAGAATTGGGAAAAAGCCTCCCATCTTACTTAATCTTTCAGCAAACCAAAGAACATGCAAAGGAGTCACTCTGAGCTCAGAACAGATGCTGACATCAGCTCTACACTGCAAAGTTTTCTAAACAACCATTTCCTGAGCGACTTCCACCGATGTCAGAATTAATCCACCAAATAAACATAGAAAAGCAAAAAGGGAACACCGTGCTTACTTCTGAAATATCAAAGAAATACCCTTGATAATGGTATATAGATTTAACAGTTAATACCGGATATGTAGCCCAGATTCTCTTGTCCTGCACCTGTAAGGTCAGCAGACAACACCCTCTTTCCATGCAGGAAACGTGCTCTGTCTATTCACTGACAATAAAACTAAACAATGCTAATTGGCTTTTGACAATTATTTTTTAATTCTCTCTGACCAGGAAATGTTATTGACACGATTCACTACAATACTCTTAAAATGCAACTCTTGGTTTAAGGGTAAGGAAATTGGTAAAGAATTGTAAGAAAATAAAACTGCTCAAGGAAACTCCAATTTTTTAACCTTTTCTACTCTACACAGTACTCCTTCCACTGAGGCAGGCAGGTAACTTTCACAACACCGCCGTGTGGAGTCTGAGAGTGCTAGCAGCTGGCAGCACAGCCTAGGTTACAGTTACATTTCACCTAATGGGCATAAGATCTCGCCACAACTTCTCAGTTCTGGTGGCGCAGGATCTAGAAGCCCATGGCGTTGCAACTAAACTACCACGCTGGCTGAAGCCCTCTCTCTCTGTAAGTAAAAATTTCAGGCCCATTGCTTTACATGCACTGGAATATTTATGGTATAAAACTACTGTTTCCTTTTCACCATTATCCACATCTTAGAGGGACTCAGAAGGTCTTTGCAGCTGTTTTGTTTTGTTTTTTTTAAAATTAAAATAACACAGTAGGACAGACTCTTAAGGATAGAAATTTTCTACCTTTTCATGTCTGAACGTAAAAGACTTTTCTAAGACTAAACAAGTACATCTGCTCTGTAAAACTACCTGAAACACTAAACTGATGGTAAAGAGGGGGTATATTTCTCAGTTAGCTTTTGAAATCATGGATCACACCTCAGCATTTCTTTTCAGCTCTTCTGCTTCAGCTTCTGAATACTCCATGTCAAGAACGTCCTCATTCCCAGAGTCTTCATCAGAACCAACGCTGTCCAGGAGAGAGCTGTTAAACTCTAGATAGCAAGGAAACAACGACCCTGCGTGAGAAGCCGTGGCATGCACAAGAATTCATAACAGGTTGAGGTATATCTGCCCACATAAACAAGCACAATAAAATGCTAACGTTTCAAGCTTCCTTCCCAAGGAAAGCAGGAGATATTGGAATTTCCAAATAAAAACTCTCTCTCCCTTCCCCAGCTTGTGAAAGCAATAATTAAGAAAAATATCTTGGACTACAAAATTAATTTTAGCATCATCTCTCTCATAGTTTTACAAAAAGGCACTATGGCAATGACAGCTGGGTGATAAAAGAGCGGTTAAACACCCAATTCGCTCCAGAGCACTGGTGGTCTGCAGCCAGAACCAACGTTAAAAGAAGTACAGCCAGTCTGGTCAGTGAACTGTAAGTTTCTGCAACAAGAAGCTATGAAATACAGTTTTAACTATAAGTTGCATTAACAAAGTGCATTTTTCAATTAAAACTGGCATCAAAACGCTACTGCTGGCAGCAGGCATCTTTTCATTGTTTTCAATGGTAAGAAGGCTGCTCACCCCAGGAACTTCCAGCTTGCTTGGCTGAGCAAAATGCAGGCAGCTTTCTGTAAAGAGCCGGAAGGCACCACTGCTCCCCGTACACGCTGTTCCAAACTTCCTGGGATTCTGCAGCTACCCGACTAATTTAAGATTTTGTACAGTACTCATTAGGAGCAGTAGCTACGCTTTCACCAGCTAAAGCAAAGCTATGAAGTCCTGGGTGGATGAGAAGTTGAGATTAACAGGACACTGCTCAGGATATATATATGTTTGGTTTTTTTTTTTTTTTTAAGGACACTATCACGCCAGTTACGATGGAGATGTTTTGCCAAAGAGATTCTCACACTGCTTGCCCTGTTAAACCATCAGACGCTGGATTAATGTAATCTTCTTGGGAAGTTTATAGATGAATCCCTTTAACTAAGAATATTTTACTGCTGGTTTCCACACTTATTCGGGCTGTTGTAAGCTAGACTACAGCCCAGAAATGCAGCCTCTTAGGTAGGTCTCTGCATGAAGCACTTGCCACGGGTATTGCTAAACGCCACTTCACCAACAGTCCTCGGATGACTAGTGGTTCTTTGATTGCACCACTACTGGGAACCTTTCTAAGACAAATACTACCAGATACATGCTCAAGATTATTAGCATCTCCTTGAACAACTGCTGGTTGATGCCTTACAAATGACACGGTAGCAAGCTGAGAAGCAGAAGACAATGCTCACGTTTAAGTCAAGCGCCTGCAAATCAGGAGGAGGAAGGATTTCTAGTGCTGAACTCTTCCCAGCCATGAATCAAGGAAGACCCGAGAGGGACTGGGCACTCAGTCTGCCAGAGCTCATCAGGGGACAGGACTCAGGCTGAGGGACATTTTAGCAGCACCCAACTTACTTCTCTTCAGAAGCAGACACAGGTTCATCCAGTAATACCTGAGGGCCTTTAAAGGTGTCTGAGCAACTACGAGTATCTTAACACAATACTTTGTTACCCCTCCCTCTTCCTCTTCGGAGCAGGAATTTTCTCTCAGTTATGCTTTGCTCTGCCAGATTGTATGAAATCACTCGCATGGCAGCCTCATACAAATGTTAAACAGTGCCTGAGGCTCACCACACTGCCTGGATTTGGAAAAGGCAGATAGTGTATTTTGGGTTTCTTTTTTCACCCCCAACAGCTATACCTTGCAGTGAGGTCTGTCTCCCTCCCAGACCGTATCAGATAGAGCACTTATTAATTTTCCTGGGCAAGGCCAGTGCATTCATTAATTAGCACTAAAATATCAATGCAAGTAAGAAATAATCCTTATGTTCTGACTAGAGCCATTAGCATGCTGGCTTCTGCTGGGAATGCAAAATTTCAAGGTCCATTTTGCTCCCTCTGTATCAATATTATATATTAAAGGTATATTATAATTTAATATATATTACATCTCTCTCTCTCTAATTAGAAACTGAAGAGAATGAAATAAGTTGTTTTTCACATTCAGATTTTCCTGGCATTTGCTTTCACAACCAAGAGCAAGAAAAGCTGACCTGAGCAAAGCCAAACGCAACAAAGCACACACCAAAAGAGCATGAAATCCTAGCTGTCTTACAGACACTCAAGAGCTGCACTCATACATACAGATCTATTTTCCCTCAAAAGCAACATCCTGGAAGAAGTTAAATAAGTTTCACCTTGTAGACTTAATTCCGTGGCTCGTTTAAGGTCATCATCCTCTTTTTGTTCTCGTGCCTCCTGATGGGAAGAGAACAAAACTTAGCTTATTGAGACACTTCACTGTTTAAAATTCTTGTGGTGCTCTTTTTCCATTGAAACTGTGCTGCTCTGGTTTCTACAACAAACCTGACATTGTAAATTAAAGGTTCTGTGTGAAGGAATGTTTGCAACCAGCGAGAGTCCAATGTTCCTGTGCAACAGAACCTGGGACAAACCTTCATTAAGGCTCGTCAAAGCTCCTGAAGTTTGGTATGCAGCAGAGCAAGTCTCTAGTAACACCAAATGCTTTCTCTGGATCATTAATTTGAAAAGCATCTGAATGAATTTGCAACCTTCGCTAAGGAAAGCTGTCACTTACACACAATGCTCCTCACACTTCGGCAAAATTTAGACTTCTGCCCAAAGCCAGCTGAGGACAGAGTCGTTAAATCCTGACAGATTGTATTATTTTTAAGCCATTTGAAAGTAGAGCCAGTGGTTCTATGTAACAGGTGTAATTCACAAAGGTAGGATGCAAAAAAAGACACCACTAAACAACCAGGTATTAAAAATATTACCATAAACAAGTAGCAAAGAAACCTCAAGTCAACAAACCCTTCTAATCTTTGGATAATATCATGCCCCTGTTCCTCCCACCACTCTTGAAAGCTCAGAGCTACAGCAAGCCAGTCAATAGTATTTAATGAACTGGCTTCTTAATTCAGAGTTTGAATGCTTTCAGTGCACCTGAACGCAGAACCCTAACTACGTATTTCAAACCGAGATAACCACAGCTACCGCATTTCCATGCCTGAATCATTAGAATAGCAGATTTTCGCTTCAGAACTGTAGCAGAACAACACTCAAAGGGCAGCTTTACATTATTAGCATGAGGCCTTTTATCTCACTATTTCTAAAGCATTTGGGAATCTTTGTTAAACTACTCAGCATCGCTGAATCAAAGCTACATCTGGCATGGAACATACCAACCAGCACCTCATAATGAGTAATGGGAGAGAAAAATCCAAGAGCCATGGAAACATCAGATCTCATAAGGAAAACCATGACAGCTTTAGTATTAATAGAGAGCAGACAAGGGCACCTATTTAAAGAAAGACCTGGCTAAGCGCTTGCTTCACACTCAGCAGCTCGGTTAAACTTGTGAAAATCAGTTACAGGTCTTGAAATTCAAGTGGAATACAGATGGTTAGCACACAACCCGAGATCCCAATTCTTTCCAAGTCTAATTTAAAGGACTTGTTTTAGACTAAATTATTTGGGATCCTTTTTCCAATTTACAAATAGGGAAGGTTCACATATATGCTCAGTTCCTATATTCTTCACTAAGTGTCCCCTACTTGCTAGTACCAGAGACAAGGCACTGGGATAGACAGATCTTTAACCTGACTTGGCATGGCCGTTCTTAGCCTTTGCTTTGAAACCTGCCTCTTTCACTTTGAGTCTTGACACGACACGCTGCAAGAAGCAACTGCCAGGGAAGCTAAAGGTGGGCTTGGTTCTTGGCGACAGATAGTAAGAGTTCAGTTCAGTTTATCATCGTTTTTATATAAAGTTACAAGCCAGTGTATAAATGTGCACAGAAAGCTTTGAGAAATCTGCAGGTCTGTGATGTGATATATGGTTTCCGAGAAAGCACATGCAAAACATGCCCAGACGTATCCAGTGCCATCGCTCTACTGACACTGGAGCTAGAAGAAACCGAAACCTTTTTTCATCTGGTTCTCTCAAAAAAGCAGCAGAATCCCTTTGCAGTTACTGCCTGAACACAAGCTTTTCCTTTAGCCATCAGGTTTCCAGTATTAGGGAAGATAACTCAAGGAAGCAAGCTTTATTTCTTACTTGCTCTTGAAGGCTTTGAGCCAGCGCCTGCTGAAGTTCTTGTTCTTCCCTCTCTCTCTCCATATCGTACTGCTGCAGCCAGTCAACCTCCCCCTGGGAGCCTTCCGGAGTTTTGTTTTCCTTATTCTCATCAAAATCTTTAGTTATCTCGGTGAAATTGGCAGGACCTGAGGAATCAGGAAGTACAGTTATGCTTTCCTGGGTCTTCTGTTTGTTACCAGCTAAATCCTCTTTACATCACCACAATCCTTGCAGCACAGTGACATCTATTGACAGGGAGAGCTCACCAGCCATAAGAAAACCACACAGGAGTCAAATGGAAAAAGCTCCAAAGCGCAGTCTTATACTGATTTTAACAGGTGTAAGATGAACCATTTGATTAATCCCTGAACCTGTTCTCTTCTTAGTCTTTTATGTTCACTCAGAAACAGCAACTTCAACTAAAGTAAGATGTCATACACCACTAGGTTTCTGCAGCCATGAAGCTGACACCTGAATTTCTCTAGAAGGAACCATAGATTATAAAAATTTGCATTGCATATTATACCTTGGAGCACTACAGACGAAGCCACAATTAAAGCCAAATCATATGTAAGATGGAGGGAAGCACAAATCTCAAGCACCGTTTAAATTTGTCAACTTTTTGCTTCAGGTAAGAGCTTCAATCTTGTGAACACTATCTACAGCTTTAAAAGTGCAAGAAGATGACAACTTTTCAGTTCACCTTTAAAGTGAGTGCTATGGCAGAAGTATTTTACAAAACTTCTGGAATGAACATTCGTTCAACCACTGCATACATCTCCTGCAGTTGCAGGACACTTTGATTCTCCCATTTGCTTGCAGCTGAGAAAGATTCAGGACCGGCTCCAACAGCTATCATGCAGCAACACGTGAAACTTTATAGTTTTGCCCTATGCAGACTTCCAACATCTGCTCATTAGTTATTAGCAAGGATTATAGAAGGCAGTCTCAGTATCTGTGACCTCTTAAACACAAGACCACCAGAACTATAATCCATCAGTCTAATCCTCTTAAGATGAAAAAAACTCCAGAATTTATTACATGACCTTTGAAAACATCCAACGTAAGATGAAATACTCGCTCGACTACAACCGTTATTTGAGGATCATGTAGCAGAAAAGACATCTTCTGTCCTGTCTAAATTAGCCTTTTTTGAAAACACCACAAATTATTCAGTGTTTACAAAAAACTTACTACTAGCGGTAACAAGAAATGGACCAAGATAAATCCATCGTGTTTAGAATCATCTTGTCCGATACAGCAAAGCATCCTTTGCAATTGTTTCTTTTAAATAGACCATACCAAACTCATAGCATGTTACGTTCAGCTGCCATAACTGGTAACTCAACATACACACATATCTCATGTGAATGCCAAAGCGTATGCTTTGAGTAGTACTTGTGGTTTTTGGTCATACACAGTCAAATACAGAAAGCTGAATGCAATGTTGAGTGTTTAACTGCATTCTTAATCAGAAAATACAGAAACTTTTATTAAACACATACTTTTTGCTTAAGTGTCACAATAGAGCCTTCAAATAATTACATTATACTTTCCAAAGAAAACCTGGAGAGAGAGACATTTATGTGGCCACACTCTCACAACTCTCTCTCTCACACAACCATAAGCAACATTAGTGTATATAGAGGAGGGCACAAATAAGGCTGACCACAGACTCAGTTTTCTTATACACTGCCTTCCAACGTGAAAGCTGTCAAGAGTTGTCCACTGAAACAAGTGTGATTTTTGGTAACAGAGTGGGGTTTTTTGCTGTCAATATTTAACCTCCTGGCTCTTAGAGGAGAAGGAGAGCATATTGTTGGCCTGTTTTTCCAGGCTAGTAGAATTAAAAATCTGACCAAAAGCATGTAGCACACAACAAATGATAAACACTTAAATTTCCTTCAGCCAACTAAAGGAAGACAATTTCCCCACACTGAGATCAAACAGGTTCCTTCTTGTACTTAACTGAGTTTCTGGGTCAGAGGCCGTAATTCACATGCTGAGTCTCTTATGCTCAAGGGTCTACTCTCACATAAAAAAGCATTAGAAAAAATTACAGAGATAGAGCTAAATTCATTAGTAACTAGTGACAAAATAACTGCATGTATGAAAGCATTCTCAGTCTTATGCACCCCAGACATCACTCTTGCACACCAGCAATGTGATCACTGCTACCGTGCTGCCCAGGCTGCAACAGCTACAGAAATGAAAATACTTTCTGATTATGGGAGATTAAGTTCCAGACACTGCCAAATCTTAGTAAATTGAATTGTCTGGTACGGGAACCAGTGGAAGCATGTGTTAATCAGCAGACAAAAAAATGGAAATTAACTCTGAAGATGACCGCACCTTTATCAGAGTGGTGACAGACAGACAAGAAAATACATTTTTGCAGTTCAATGCATTAAATGCTTTATACACAGGGAAACTGTAAGAAAACTCTGAGGAAGTCAGGCAGTTTCAGCAGTGCACTTGCATCCAGATTCTGCCACCATACATTACTAACCTGCTGCTATCAGTAACCCGCTTTAGCTTGCTATAGTCCAATTAAGATGGTTACTTCGCCTTACCTGAGTCTAATGCTGCTTTGGGTTTCTCCATCTCCATAGATTCCAGGTTTTCCGGCAATTCCTGAATTTCATCGTCTCCAAAACCAGTGTCTGGGCTGCTTGTGGGCTTATCTTCATCATGGCTCAGAGACAGAGAAGCTTCCCTTTTGCTAATCTCTAAGACAGCTGCTAGCAGCTCATCTTCACTCATCCCATCAAAACCAGCACTACCCAGCTCAGGCTTATCACCCTCCATTTTACTTCTTTTTGAACCCTAGAGATGAATGGAGTTATGATTAAGTCCTTGAATAAACAGGTATATAACATCAGCTTTACATTTCTGTGGAGATTTTTTTTTTTATTAACCCCAAGGAGTGGGAGCTTGGCTCTGTCAACATTAAACAGATATTTATGAGATTCAATGGAGAGACAACCTTTGTAGCTACATTCACTCCAAGGAATAATATTTAAATATAAACTACAACCAGTTTTTACAGGCCCTGCAGATTAACATACACAAGATAACTCTTCCCTTCTCCTTCCTTTCCTCCAGCACGTGTTCCACCTTTAGGTTCTGATGAATCCTCAAGCCTCTGGCAAGTCAGTGCTGAGGTGCAAGTAGCGAAATTGCAAGTTTGTTAACAAAGGCTGAAGCAGCAACATGAGAGTAATTGAACTTGAACACAGGGATGGAAGAACGGGAACTGAAATCAGGCTGGTACGAAGAGCAATTAAAATTAGGTTTGCTGCTGCAGACTTGCCATATGAAATCTTGTGGGACGGGGGGGGGGGCAGGAGTCTGCAAACCAAGTAAGAAAACAGTTAACCAGGGAAAGGGGGGAATTATTCTTTCCTAAGGAGAACAGAATGACTTTAAATTGGAAGAAAGGAAAAACACTTTAGTCTTAATCTGAATTTTTCCTTTTTTAGTTATCTTCCTAAAACTGACACTCATCAACTCCTACACCATACTGATTTGCAACTAATACAGTAATTTCAATCATTTTTATATTAACTGTTAATCAGGAGGTTAACCTCCATGTATACATATTTATACAATTACGTTGTTGTACACTTTCAATGGATGGGGGGGGGGCGGGGGGGGGGGGGCAGGAGTCTGCAAACCAAGTAAGAAAACAGTTAACCAGGGAAAGGGGGGAATTATTCTTTCCTAAGGAGAACAGAATGACTTTAAATTGGAAGAAAGGAAAAACACTTTAGTCTTAATCTGAATTTTTCCTTTTTTAGTTATCTTCCTAAAACTGACACTCATCAACTCCTACACCATACTGATTTGCAACTAATACAGTAATTTCAATCATTTTTATATTAACTGTTAATCAGGAGGTTAACCTCCATGTATACATATTTATACAATTACACTACTTACCATATGCTTAGATTTTTTTTTCCCCCTATACTATGTTAAAAATGGGGAAAAATAGTTTCTATCAGAATGTACTTATCCAGGTCTTATTCCAAACTGCATTTGGATGGATCTCAGAACTTCATTAAAATGAACAAAAATACATTTTTACTGCTGTTTTTTACTTAAATACAACAAGCTTTTGATGAGCAAGACTAGTTTTATATAGCAAATATTTTGTATTAAAACTGGCTTATCAAACAAGATTAGCAAATGAATTAACCAACTAAATTGCTTGTTCTAGACATCATGCCCTCCAAGAATTAGTACTGACAAATTTAAACCTCTCTCCTCACATCTATTCATGCACTGAATAAGGAAAGCAGAGTACCTGCTTTTTAAGCTTTCTGATTTCTCTCTCTGCACCTGTAGGCTACTAATGTCAAACCTGGTTTAGCTCTTCAGCAAACCCTAGTTCCAGGCACTTTGCCAACAACTACCACTAATTCAGTGGCTGGACTTTAAAGACTTGGCTGCATCTGTGCATTATTTGAATACAACTTTTCTATTAGAAATTATTTGCATAGATTTTAAGTAGCTTAGGCTCTAAGACTGGCTGCTTTAAATAAGTATTTTTAAAACGTACTTCAAATACTACTTCATATGCAGAGGCAGAAATCACAGAAATTGCAGTTCTGCCCACTTTAGCTGGATAACTGCTATTTGCCCCTACAATCCGATGTCGTATACACCCGCTGTTCCAGCTGTTCTCCCACGCGGCAGGACTGTTTTGCAAGCAGTGCCCCGCAGGGGATATACCAGCCATACGAAGTGACTGCCAAGCCCCCAGTGCAACCCCATCCACAGCTGCTATGAGAAGCATACCAGGGGAAATGGTGCAGCAGCAGCACTGCCACTTCCAAGGACCGGGACCTCCCAGGACAACACTGAGAAGGACAGAGGATCTGGTTAATGATAACAGATGGCTGGTCAGGCCTGTGGTTGAGGAGTGGCCAACGTGCATGGCCACAAAGAATAAAGTCACTTATGTGGAATCATCACCACCACTGTCTCTTTCCCACAACAGGCTGGAAAGCCTATAATTAATTTGCTATTCAAATTAATAGGCTTTATTCCCACAATTTCTGCACTCACAGGGCTTATGCGATAGAGACTACCTACACTTCCTCACAAAGAAAACTCAAGGAAGAATCACTTCGGACAGTTTGGAATACTTTTTCTATACATAAGAGGGACTTCAAAGACAAGCTAGTTTCCTTCCCCCACCCGCAGCCAGCTATAGATGTGCCATGCAGGACAGCAGTTGCCTACCTTGTTCCCGAGACCTTCAGCAAAGGGTTTTCTGCTTTCTCCCAAAGCAATCCATTCCATCCCTACACATCCTGAGCATCAGGAAGTTTTCCCTACTATTTAATCGAAAAATTACTGTCTGCAATTTAGTCTATTACTTCCTGTTCTATCCACCACGGGCACGGAAAACAGCTCAAGTGTTTCTATTAATTTCTTTCCCTTCCTTGAAGACACAAGCCCTGCTTATGTTTCTCCTTAAACTAAAGGCCCGAGTTCACGTGCCTGCTCTTTCCCCCCAAATCTTCCTTTCTAGGCTTCTGACCATTCATGTTCCTCTCTTCTGGCCCCTCTCCAATTAATCTATAACTCTTTTCAGTCCAGAGCCCAAAGCTGGATATAGAACTCTAGTATGTAGCTACATTCTTCTAGCTGAAGCTCAATGCTGAGGAAAAAAAGGAGGGTTACTTCACACAACCTGCAGGCTATGCCTCTGTCTATACACTTCTGTTTTTAACCAGCCTGACCTTGTGACCGACTGTCACCTTTCACGCCATTTCTGAAGGCCCACTGCTTTCCCAGCTCTTCCCATCCCGCATTTACAGTTGATTAGTCCTGCTAAGATTAGACCTTTAGCCTGTCTCTACCGAACAACCCCTCCTATTTTTATGCAATGTCTCAGATTTGTCAAGATCATTCTTAACTGTAGTTCTGAGCTTCATGATACTGGCAGCCCTTCCCAGCTCTGGGTCTTCTGTAAATTTAATACTCATTATCTATTTTATCATTTATTAAATACTGAGTGGATTGGGATTCTCCCTTGGTTTGATCTTCCTATCAGATCAGAAACTGTAGGTATCTTCCTCGTTACCTATTGCTATTCAGCCAGCTTTACGCCTGTCCTTTAATGCCATAATCAAGACCACAAAGTCTCCGCTTGATTAAAATAACCCCATGAACGTTGTCAAAAACTTTAGAGAAGCAGAGATGCAGGACGCTTGTCCTAAGCACTAGGCCTGCAACACTCTTAACAGAAGAAAGTGGTACTGCAAGATAATCCTCTAAGCTTGTTTTCCGTTCTGGGTCATCATTCCTTCCCACACAACTCATCTACTTGCTAATACACTGCCCTGATAGAGGCAAAAAATATCTTGGCAACATTAATACTAGTCACAATGAAGAGCTCAAAGACAACTTGAAGTTAACTGCGCCTTTACACCAATGAACTTGATCTCTACACAATTCTACATGTCCACCTCCGAAGACTGATACCTTCAGTTTCTAAAAGCATTTAAAAAGCCACGCTTGACAGGGGACACAGACTGGATGTGCAAGAAGTTCTCTCAATTGACTATTTTGCTTAGCCCAACTTGTACTGGATCTAATTTAATCAAGGGCTTTACTGCATCATTTTATTATTGACAGCCCATTATATTTCAGCCTGGGAACATTATTAGTGAAAGTTACCCAAAGGACTGACAAAACTGCTAAGCAGCTGGTATACATAACCTGAAAACTCAAGTGCAGTTGCAATGCAATTACCTCTGTTTCCAGTGGGAACCCAAGACAACTGTACAGTGAGGTCAATTAGCAAAGCACTCCCTTCCAGCATTGCAGTGCTAATTAGGAGGAAAAAAAAAATAACTTACCTTACATCAATTTTACTCACAATCTGTGCTAAGAAAAGCACAGGCCAGACATGAGCACATAGAAGATCTATGTATATGAAAGGTTGTGGTTTTTTCCCTTACCTTTTCTGGCTCTTCTTGCAGCTGCTGCTGATCTCTACTCTGTATGTTACACAACCTTTGGCTATGGGCAACAGAGCGTTTCAACGGCTCATCATCACTGTCAGAATCTACATAGAGTGCCGCAGAGCTCTTTGACTTGAAAGTGTATTTTCTGTAAATTAAAAACATGGCTATAAAACTTTATAGCAGTGTAGCATTGCACAAATCTGTTTCGAAGTAACCATTAAAGAAGTGTTACATCCAACTTCCACACTGCAGGGCAGTACAATTTGGGGAACAAACTGCAACAATTGACAATGACAATTTATTAACATAGCAGGCAGGGTTTTCAGAAAAGGTATATTTTATTAGGTTAACTGACATACCTACCTCAAGCCTGCAATAGCAACTTAGGACGTTAAAAGTTACTAAGTGTGTGGCTCTTGCTTCTAAGGCCAAGGATTCTGCACTTCACTACCTAGCAATCCCAGACAGTACTCATTTGAGTTGAGTCCACAGTAACATGCAGAACTCGGCACAAACCATTTGACTTCTGAAGTTTACTAAGCTGGACACAGGACTTCCCACATCATTACTAGGACATAAAAAGCACAAACCTGTACAAGTTTTTCAGTTTTCCTGTTTGTTCTTTCATTAAGATAAATCCTTGCTTCTTTAGAACAGAAGACAAGGGAGTGTGGGGAAGTCGCGATTTCTGCTCAATTAGGAAATCTGGTCTTTTAAGTATTCCACAATGCAAAACTATCCAGTGTGATATCACATTTTTCACTGTATTAAAAACTGGCCTTTCAAAATGGGCTATAAAAACAATGCCCTCTCATCTTTGCAAATAAACTTAAGGAATTAACCACCTGTTCCCAAAACACACAATGGGGCTCCATAGAGCCAGAAGAGAGAAAAGAGCTAGATTAAACTATTTTGCTTCTTATATACGTGACTTGCAACTACAAATGCAAGCTAGTTTAAGATATCTGGCACTGACAAATCATCTGTACAAACTCAATCCGGTTCTCATTCTGATGCTCTGAAAAAAAAAATCATCTTTGCTTACTTACAAGTCCCCAAAGGTTCTCAAAAGACATGCTAAGGTGATCATGTCAACTAGGTAAATTGTACCATTGCTATTAATTTCAGCTACCGTGTAACACCAATAAAAGATATGAAAAAAGACAGTAGCTGAAATAATTTACTACAATAGAAGAAAATAGAAAGAAAAGAAAACAAATAGAAAAAGTGGAAAGATTAAAGAAGAATTAGAAAAATCTTAAAATGCCTTAAAAATTATCCCATGAAACCCCAGGCCATGGGCATTTCAGAGCTATAACTCACCTACAAGGTGTGGAAGTGCTTATAGTACAGGAATTCACCATTTGGGAGGCTTTCAATGGACGGGAACTATTAAAAAAGCAAAGTATTTATTGCAGCAGTTACAGCCTTTAAAAAATAAGTGTTTACTTGTCTGCTATGCATGCAAATCCATGACCAAAGAAACAAGTAGAATACTATTATGTACTTGCTAATTGCTTAGATTTAGAGTAGTAACTCTATCATGCTATGAATATACAACAGTTGTTCAAAACCATATATAATCCTTTAAACTTGATTCACTTCCTAGTGATGCACCCTTAGGGACAAGCTCACAAATTAAAGGCTTTGGGCTCCCACGTCAAGACAACTCATTCCTTTATTTTTTATTCCCACCAACACTTGAGTTCCTTCTCCCAAACCACAGTCTCCTGCTGCTGTCTGGATCAGCCGGTTTTTTGGCATGTCCCACATCTCCGTTTCTCCTCCCTTACACCTAGATTCTTCTAAACAAACTTCCTGCTCCATTTAATCCTTTCATGGGCTCCTCAAAGTCCATCACTATCACTACACATCTATCCACCAGATGGCTGCAAGTGCAGAAATCTTTTCTGATCTTCCCCCTCAAACCAGGGCTGCTTCTCTCCAGCCTAGTTACCCTTCCACTCTCCAGTCAATCAGAATGGTTTCAATGACTAAAAAAAGCCATTGGAAAGCTATTTCAAAAATATTTTGAAGTATTTCTGCTCTAGTTAGCTTAAGCTGTTTGTTGTGTTTAAGATTTCTATTGTTAAAGCGAACTCTTGAGAAACATCCACGTAAATCTCAAAAGTCACTAAACATTCAGCACAAGAACACATGCCACACTGCTGAACATACACCAGATGTGTCCTAACTCATAACGGCTACTGTGGTTATGTCACTAGGCAGGGACCACAAGAGACCTGAGGGTTTCTTGTTCCTTATTCTGCCACAGACTTCCTATGTGACAACTGGCACGTTTAACCTCTGTGTCTCAGGACAAGCAGCTGTACAGAAATAACTGTCACAGGGAAAAGGAGAGAGTATTTTCAGCATGTGAAGTGCTCAGATACTACAGTGGCACAGGAAAGACAATGAAAAATGAATGATAGCACGGACGGTGCAAATGGAAATTAGCAGAAAAAGGTAGGATGTTATGTCTCCTAAGCAGAGTTAAGCGTGCTGTGAAGGGAAAGGTAATCTAGATTACTTTGGACCGAGAGGCATAAATTTTAGAAGTTACTAACAGAAGCTCTCAAAAAGGATAGGAAGTTATTTTCAAGGACACTGAAGAATATTATCTTACCAAATATTCCCTAGATAATGCCCCACCAACTCTTCCTGCTGCTTCTATCATGCTTCCTTTCCATACATGTTCTCATGATGGCATCATTACAAACTAGCAGTGCACATCTGAAGCTGCATAATTTAGTGTTTCCTTGCCCAGACATCTTCTGGAGGAGATCTGACAACTGCCCACCTTGTGGCATGTGCGCTTAACACAGCATGGATCAATCACAAGTTGTACACTTACATTGCAGAATGGACGCTCCATCCCAGCGTCAGCGGCAGCCTAGTGCTTTCCGTACAGTGTGAAAGCAGGGTTAAGTATCTAGGAATAACCACCTGCTGCCCGACTTTATGATTGAGAGACAATGCTACATTGAAGCTGTATCGTTTCAGATGAAGAATCAGGACCCTGAGAGGTATGAAAGAAGGACAAATGTTAATCTCAAGACAGAAGTCAGAGAAAACCTATTCAAAATCCAGGTAGCCCTGTTTACAAAATGCATTCACCTGACTCTAAAGCAGATTATTACTTCAGGGTGGCAGGGAAACACTATCCATCTCTTATCTGGCAAGAGACAGGTAATTACTCTCCTGTCCATCACTCAACTTTGTGCAAGGTGCAGAGTGCAGACTCTGCCAACTCAGTAGGCTTCCTGCTTTGATCTGCATCACCTTGCTCTTCAGTCAAGCAGAAGCAAGCAGCTTGTACCAAACTCATTATTTCTACTACGCAGTGAGAGGTAGGAAACAATCGAAATATTATCATTATAGGTCAGAATGCTAGCATATTACTCCCAGATATTCAAGACTGTGATGGAGGGATCACACAGCTGCCCAAAACTGAGGAGGAACTGTGCCCAGTGCAAGATGTGTACTTGGTTTATCTGTCACGACACTTTCTCTTTGAAAGAGCTTTTGATCACAACAGTATAAAGAGCCTGAAAAGGCCTCCTTACACTGAATCTTCTCCTTTATGCTGCACTTTGTACTGTCTATTTAGATCATGCAGCTGTATCATCACTTATGCTGTGCTAATATTCAAAAACTTTGACAAGGGTTTTGCAGTGCTAGCATAAATATACTATTTAAGCAAAACGCAAGCTAACTACCAAGTTACTGGGTTCAGTATGAGTATACCTGGGACAAGGACATAGGCCAGAAAAAGTCATCCAACAGACTTAGCTTTACATCCCATGAGAAAATGATCCCTACCTCCAAGCACTTCCACTCTAAATAATGAACTAAACCCAACCACGAGGTCAGAAACTATTGAGCATGCCATTAACCCTCGAAGTGTCTGCCTTCTTCCTCAAAGTGCCACGCTTACTGAGAGAGAAAACAGGTACCAGCATGGGAAGAATTAATTGATCAAAGCAAAACCCTCTATATACCTTCTGGCACTAATGCCTCCAACTCAGTCCTGCCCATCAGGTCAGCTAGGCACAAAATATTAAACTTCCAGAATATATATACTGTTTCCACTTCCCTCACATCCCAGAAACCCCAAGAAAAAGGGAAAGGGGAAAACTCAGCCCTCCTGGTGTAACGATAGAGAGGAAGAAAGAAGTGTTGCAGAGGGTGCCCAAGAGAGTTTCTTTAGAGGGAAACTGAAGAACAGCATGAAGACTACTGCCTGCATGTGTATCTTTCTCACATGCTGACCACCGTACATGCTGTCCTACCTGTTTTCCCAGCTTTACTTTTCGAAGGACTTTTGCTTGCACTTTTGTGGACTTTTTGTCCTTCCAGGAAAGAGAGGAACAGATGTCAACATTTACCTGGGAAGCCTGTTGAACTTGTGTGTGACAACAGCAGACTTTCCATTGCACTTCTCACAGGAATACTCAATCTCCTCTGCCTGTTTAAGAGAACAGAAAAATGACTAGTGGAACAAAAGACACATCAAACGGATCTTAACAGTAAACACGTTGCTTCTGGCTGTCATGGAAGCTCTTCAAAATAGCAGTTACACTTAAAATTATAATCACCTTCAACATGACCCAACAAGAGGGCATCTGATAAGAGGACAGGTAGCAGAGCTTACAATTTGACAACATATCCACTAATACAGGTGGAATTTTTCTGCAAGTCAATTGCAGACCAGTGAATCAGCCACAGTTGAGACAAAGTAGCTTCCAAAGAGAGGGGACAATCTTGCAAGGTTTACAGTTTTCTCTCCCATACACAGGTTTTGGTTTTTTTTTTTTATTAATAACCTTTGGTGGAAGATAATTTGCCATGAAGTTTTCTCTCTCTTGTTCAAAACCTCAACTTTGCTCCTGAAAAGCTATCTCGATCTAAACTTGTCAAGGATGTGCTGCACCAGAGTAGAGTTTTGAACAGACAGCAAAAGGGGAAGCATCACGGTGCTGAAATTACATGACTTAGCCATCAAACATTTCCACAGCCCTTTTCTTTAAGTGAGGCCAAATGACACCACTATAATTTTAAGATTTTTTTAAACCACAAGACCTCCACCCGGTTTTAGAAGAATAAGCACGTCAATTATTCTATCTGTTGAAAACACTATCTGTAAATGGAGAAAAAAATACAGGTCTGTCTCAAGATATGACAAAACTAATTCACACATGTAAGGCTCATTTTTAGCTTTCAGAAACCTCACCTTGAAGCTCTACTTACAAGATGAGCATCCACAAATTACAACTACTTTTTTAATTATGATATCCGTATGACCTTTTTCCTCCATACTAATTTAGGCCAGTACATAAGCTGTTGAAGCATCCTAGCCCAGGAGAGGAAGCAGCAATTCCTGAGCGATTATCTCAATCTGACAGCCTCCCTTCTCTCCTTTGTTTTTGTTTATGCCTCAACTCTTCCACCACAAAATGGGGAAGTTTACCTATTTCACAGCAGTATTGTAACGATCAGTTAATTTCTGCACAGCATTTTACAATAAAAACTCCTGTATACTGTTAATGTACAAACCTCAAAAAAGTGCAAAGTTAATTATTTCACATGCCTGCAATCACTGTCACAGAAACTAATAATCAGCTATACAATCAAAATTTCCATGTGGTACATAACCTACACATACTCCACAGTGAATAAAAAAGCCCCAAAACTACGTACCCGAAAAAAGAGGTCAAGGGAATCCTGGATCGATCGGGAAGGAAGCAATTTCTTTCTTCGAGGAAGGTCAATGGAGAGGTCATTAAACTGTTCTCGTTTAGTGACTGTTTCACCACACCTAAAAAAGAAACACGCTTATGTAAGTCTGATGAAAAACATACTTGAAATTAATGACATCTTACATTTTTTAGGCTAAAGTAACTTCCCAGTAAATATATGCCTCTTGATCAATCTATTTTTACTCATCAAAATGAAACTGATGCTTATGACAAGGTTGAATTTTGGGATTTCACTTGGATGCTTTAGAAGTTGAAAGAAACATTTGTGTAAGGGTGAGAACAAAAAACCACAGACTGCTTTGGAGAGGCAAGTGATCAGGTATACAGGAAATCAAAGTGACTGCTATGTAGCTGAACACGTTTTCTTCATTCAGCATTCTTAGGAGAAAAGAAGTGAGCCCAGCTCAGAAGAAGGGAAAGCCTAGAAATACATTCAAACTGTTTTCAGAAATAAAATAGCAGAATCCATCTAAAAAAAAAATAAATCTCAATTTCCTTACGCTTTTTGGTTGCGGCGGGGGGAAGACCCTACAGTCATTTGTCTTCAATAATTATTACCTGCATGCAATTTACTTTTAATTATTTTAGGGAACTAATGCAGTACACACAAAGTAATATTCCCAAATATCTGTGTTCATGAAAACTCTGTGGAATGCAAGCATTCCATATGGGAATCTGCTGCACAGGTCATACACAACGAATGCTCAGACATACTGGTTTACATCTTTTTCCGCAATAACCTAGAGAGACAGAAGAAAATGCCATTCCCTGCAAGCCCTTAGAAAGAACAAATTAAAAACATGGTTTCACTTTTTTTTTTTAAGAGGAAACATTACTTGGCTGAAACGCCCTTTTCTCTCTATTCTCATACAACCAGTACGCAAAAAGCAAAGCACAGAGGCTTTCCACTGGATACGTAATGAAGAACTAGATGGTATGAGACTGTTTAAAGAAGGCCTGTAGCAGCAGACAGCGTGGTGTGAGGTTTACAGCATTTCTAGACCATAGAATATTTTCTAAATATCTAGCTTTGGAAACTCAGCTCTAGTTATAACCTGCAGATGAAGTCACATAAGATGGAAACACTTCCCAGTCTTTTAAGGTAAGTATGAGAAAAGCTCTCAAGCATACTTACGTTTTGCAAATGATAGAATGCTGAACCTCAAACTCTAAGTTACTGATAACTGGACACGTATAAACTTTGGTGGCTGAGAGGTCATCAGAAGCCCGTCCAGGTGAGTTATCCTCATTAGGGACTGGCTCACTCTTCCAAGTTTTGTTTAACTTTTCCATGTCTTCCTTCAGCTGATCCAGACACTGGCTCAAGAACTCATGTGCATCCTAGAAACGGGGTAAACTCATCAAAGTGATTTTGTACAACTTCATTCAGTATCTTTCTCTCAAACACACACAGACTGGCGAAATTATGTTTTAGTTCATTGCATTCAGCAATACTAAGGCAGTTCTGCTCTAACAAACAGCAGGCAATCGTTGTCATTCAATCAAAAGCTCAAGTCACTGTCAAAGAGAGTTGAAGCTTGACAGGCGTTCAATGCAGTCCAAACACTGAACAAATTGCACATAATTGTTTCTAGACAATATGGTACTTACGTTCTGCATGTACCCAGAAAACCTCTCTGCAGTAGCTGAAATGGCACTTTTCACCTTCTTGAGCAGCTCTTTCTTAACCTCAGAGCTGCAGACATCCTTTTTAGCAAGCAGATGGGCAAAACGTCTGCAGAAGTCAATGTAAAAGACTGATTGGCTTTCTAGGACTTTAGAGAAACAAAATAAAACTCATGATACCTCATTTTAAGAGTCTCTAAAAGCTTTTCTCCTGTGATAAGTGGTTTAGGGGTTCTATATGAAAATATCTCATATATAATTAACCTTTCCATTTCAAGTATTTTGAAATCTCATTTGAGGTCATCATTGGAACAGGACTCAAATGAACAAAAAAATTCCACAATCTTTTAAGGTAAAGAGAAGAGCCTTATAAAGTTCTATAAACTTATTTCTGCTATATCTTTTACAATGAGAAAAAAAAAAACCACAATGCTTTTTGAAAACATTTGCACTGATAGGAGATATGAAATCACATGGCACCAAAATGAACAACACAAAATCATTAAATTCAACTTGCATGGTCAGACTGGTTTCTATTTTTTTTTTCTTTATTTTGAAATTTCTACTCAGTTTCAAGCCTTACTTCTTTTGGCAGTAAAACATTACAACAGAGTAGAAAAAAGCTGTAACAAAAAGAGCCATAAGGAGTACCTTGGTTCAAGCCACATACAGCGTTACTGGTAACTTTGTTAAAAAACTGTTGAAATTGACTTTACTTGTGCCTCTCAGTTATTGTGGTTTAGTTATCTTTTATAACTGCTTTACAATTTCACAGGAAATACACACCCAATATATTCCAAGCACAACAGTTTTGGTCATGGGACATACATGGGAAGGTGACGGGACAGTGTCATGTTCCATCACACACACACACACAAAAAAAAAAAGGAGAGAAAGACAGAAAAGACCTGTGCAATCCCCTCCCACCCCAAACCAACAACTAATACTCAGTTACCCAAAGAATCTGGTCAGTTTACTGCAGCTCAAGTAGTTTCTGTTATTCTGCTGAGCTACAGTAACAGTGTGTGCTCTCCTAACCCTCTACAACTGTTCAGTGAAGCATGTTGGGAAACATGCCTTTTTCACCACAAAGCAGTTGATAGGTGTCGTGGTTTAATCTCTAAGCACCACCTTAGTTGCTGACTGAGATTAACCCACGACAATAGGCAATCGATTTTCAACCAGAAAAACATTCATCGTGTTAGATCAAGTGCCCATACCCAAACCAATAGAAGCCAAAGTAGATGCTACTGAGTATCAACTCCAACTTGTAGTACTTAGGCCCAGGATCACACACTGCCCTCCATCAGAGGTACTATGGCACAAGCTTTGTGCCACACGGTTTACCGTGTGGTATATGGGGCACAAGCTTCCGAGGTCTTCCTACAAAAATTAGGGAAAGGACATTTCGAGAGGTATGTGGAACAACCTCTGATTCCGAGTAGCATAGGAAGAGTTCAAGATGACACAGGAAAAATAGAAATGACCCCAAAAGATAGAAAACACTATGAAATTGGAAACAGAAATGGTTCTGATAATCCTGAATCTTGTTTAGTGAGAGAAAAGAAACGAGGTGCACAAGAGCACGTATAATAAAAATCCCAAATGGCAGAGAGTGCAGTACATAGAGCAAACAGCAGTTTGTCTTTCTGATAGACATACAATGGAATCTGAATGGCACAGGAATTCAAAATTTCAAAGAGAAAAGAGTGGTTTACATATTACAGAAACCTTTGGAGTTTCTTGACGTGAGGTTTGACTGAACTGAGAGTTCAGCTGAATTTAGAAAAAGATTAAGTATGCAGAACTCGAACACTCTCCACAGCTACTAGACAAAGGATATTTTCCAAAAAGGCGTAAGCCCTCACATACCAGGTGAAGTTAGTGATCAGCTTAAACCCTAGCTGGTAATGTTCTAAAAAGAAGTTATTCTGCATCTATTTATTTTGCAGTTTCTTGCATTTTCTTCTGAAGCATTTCACTCTGCCACTAGAAATACCATAGAAGATATAAAAGACTGCCTGTAACTCAGCATTGCAATTTTTAAGAGCCTGCTTTCTATTTCTGAAGTAAAACTCCAAAATACAGAGAGCTCTAGGATTTATTTTATTACCTACACATGCAAATTACCCTCTACAAAGGTGCTTCAGTATTACAAAACTAGTTTCTCAGTAATGAAAGAGAAAATATCCTTCCCAGAAAGTGAGTATTACCTGATAAGTGCATTGAGTGGTATTTTTTTCCATGGGATACCCTGCTTGAGCAAATCATTAGCAAAAGACTGAATTGAAAACAAGGACTGTAGAATGGCATTCATATAGCAGGTGTTTCCCAAGTTTGAAAATCTGAAAAAAAAAGATTGAACATGGTATGTATGTCAATGTGTGAACATGCCAGTGTTAAACACGGCACTACTAACATGTATGACATTCACCCCAGCCACCCTCCACAGAGTTTCTTACTGGAGCTGTCCTCCTGCCCTTCAGACTAAACTGAAAACTCACGGGAGCTGGCATTTACCAGGGAAGCACCCATGATTTTCTACCATCAAAATTAAAAAAAATGTGTTTATATACACAAGCTAGGGAAATGAATCATGAAAGTGTATGAAAGGAACATGAATTACGGAAATTATTATATCTCTCAAATTCTCAGGAAGCAAATTTGAGAATACATATTTTCCAAACTAGGAAAAGTGTTCCCTGTCTCAGTGTTCATTGATGTCAGGATTTGTTTTTTCATTAAATAACTATAACAAGAATGTGCGTGTTCTGATGATCAAAGCGTGCATGCTAGATAAAGAAAATTAAATTTACCCTTGTAATTGTTGTTGAGGATGGGTGGAAAGGGGCACTCGGGGTTTGTTCCACCCTGTGTAATCTTGATTAGATCTCATTTTTTTAACAGAAAGAGGGGCAGGCTGAGAAAGAAATCCCAGGCTTCTTTTGGCTGAAGGGGTCTGGCTGGATACACTAGACCTAAAAAACATAAAAGGATAAGAAGCGTAAGATTTCTAATGCTCTTCCTTAAATAGCTATAGTCCGTGACCCTGGAATTGTTTCACTATAGAAGACAAGGACTGGTAAAGCCACACAAGATAACTGGCATGTATCATAACGCAGAAGAGGTGTGAGAGGGAGAACTTTTTTCCAGAGCACTTAAATACTTTGTTTCATTAAATTTCCTTACATCCACAGGTGTGCATGCAGTGTAACCAAGCCTTTTGTCTTTAAGATATTTAACAATTCCCCACACTGTACGATGAGAGGAAGAACGATCGCGTAGCATGAGATCACCACTCCTAAGATATGCTTAAAATTCACATCTGGGCCAGAGTCTTCATTCTCAGCCTCTTGTTCTTGTAACCTGGTCACTCTGGACCTCAGTGTAAAGCATGGACAACGCTTCTTTTCTTCCTTGATCTTGTATCTCATCTATCTAGGGCAGAGACCGACAGTTTGATTGCACAGCATCTAACACAGAAGAATCGCAACCTCAGCAGGATTCAGTATTACTAAAATATGTTATTAAAATACAGAGTTTCATGCCATTTATCTACTTGGGAAAAATGAAGCAAGGATTCAGTCTGAAGTTCCAGAGTTTATATAGAATTTGAACCATCCAGAGTTTAGATATCATCTGGATCGTTCACAATGACTATAATAGACTTGAGTGATTTTAGAAAGTCTATTGCAAGCAGTAACTGGAGTTGGTAGACGTAACTAGAGCAATCGTAGCCACACTGAATACCTAGATTGTACTCCTGGGGGGGGGGGGGAAAATACACACACACACACACATTTTATGCATATAAGCTATATCACGTGACAAACACAGAGGAAACTGAAGACCCTAATTCCTGGGAAAGAACTGTCATTTACAGTTCATGCTAGTGAATCAGTCCTACCTGTCCAGGGTGGAACTGCCAGTGGAGTACTCTTTTGATGAGGGCCGACTACCATAAAAGGATGATGACTGCAGTGGTAAAATACCTTGAAAAACAGAAAGAAGGGCACGTCATTTTGTTCCAGGTAACTCAGCTATTTATACAATATACAACTCATTTAAAAGTATTTAGTCAAAAAGTTTAAAAATCCACAAATACTGTTTTCCAGAAAGTACTAACACACATACTTAGAAGTACTAACACGAATATTAATCATATGTAAGTAAAGACATGCTGGAGTTTTAATTGAATTTAATACCACAATCTCCATCAAATCCAAATTGCAATACAAAACATTAAAAAGTCATCGAATGGTCTTAACTATCTGAAAGATAATAAATATCCACCTCTTGTTCAAATATACAAGATACACATAACAGAAAACTCACTAATGATTTCCAATACAGTGCTCTCAAAATTCAAGGTAAATATGCAGAAGTGAAAACAGTTTCTCTTCCCACTCCAAATTCCACTGTAAATTACTACATGCTTGGGGCAAAATGTGGTTGTTTCATTGTTCTGATAGCATTGTGTCAGATCCTGAGACTCTAATGCCTCTGATGGTGCCACATAAAAAAAAATGCTCTCAAGAGTCAAAAAAACACCTATTACAGTGAATCACAGCGTAATTTAGTTTGGATAACGAATAAACATTTGCTTCTATCCCAGCTTGAAATGGTTTGAGCCATGCATCTTTCAAAAATGCAGATATATGAAGGAAGTTCGCAGTACCGTTACCTGAACTTGCAGGTATACACTCACAGGTTCTAATTTTGACTCTAAAGAGCAAACCAGATTTTCATTCAGTGATAGACATTCACCTTACTGGCTCCTCCAGCAATGTGTTTGTGCCATCAGAGCTGCACTAAAAACAGAATGCATTCAGCATCATTCCCCATAAAAACAAGATCTTGAATGCATCCCCCTTTATGGGGAAAGAGGCTCAGTATTTATTAGTAAAACTGAAAAATGGTGCTGCTTACTAACTTATGTACATACTGTCAATATTCCTATGTCGTCTATAAAGCCTTGTCACACACCAGTATCCAACTGAACTTTGGTACAAAGAGAACGAAAGTCCTGGCCCCAAAGAGTTCCCCCTCTAAGTTCTGGGGAAGAAATAGGGAAGTAAAAGCAAACAGTGCATGTTTTCAGCACAAAAACCAGCCTACAATTCATGTGGGCATTAACAGCAAAGGAGAGCTTTAAAAATAAACAAGAAAGGAAGCAAAAAGGAAATCCTCAGGTGTTTACAGGAATCCCCTCCCAAGGGGAAGGGCAGCTTGGAGCAAAGTTTGAAGCTGCTTGTTGAATTTTCAAACAAGCCGGCACATGGGCTGGCATCAGCACCCAAGTATAAAGGTCAGGGTCACACTAGAGCAGGATAGGCTTTGAAAACGAAGGCAAGTTGTTTGCATCTCATATATGGCTCTGTAGGAACCAAGAAAGTTAGTGGCACAGGGAAAGCAGATTAGGAAAACCACCTCTGCAGCAACTTTCTAAACTAATATCAAAGGGGTAAAATCATACTGGTCAAAGCCAGGTGGCGTTACTTTTACTTTTTTACCTGATGTCCTATTTTCCTCTGCCTGCTTCAGATTCAACTGTTTCTCTCTGCTACTGTTCAAGTACTTCCATGCTGGATCACTCAAGGCTTTATTATTCCTACAGATAAACAAGAGTGGAAGTCAGTGTAGTTACAGAAGATACAGGATATTCCTGCTTGATATTTACAACTTGTTTTAAAGCATTTCTCTCCTATCACCTTTAATACTTGACTATGGAACAGTTAAACTTTACCTCGCAGATAAGTTTAACCAATTCATTTAAACAAGCCTTCTTACTGATGATAAAATGCAATTTCAAACACACGGAGCTTATTCTCCAAATGGCAATTTCCTTTATGAATTTTGTTTTGAAAAGGGTCAAAGCAAGTTCAGTAAAGAAGGCACCTCTTGCTATACACATATAGCACGTATGACAATCCTGACTAAACTGACAAAAGAAAGATGACAAAACATTTGCATGTGCCAGTTCCTGCAAATCAACTGCTAGAGCAGGTTGTATTTCCCTCATTAATCCTGAACGCAAACCCCATTTCAAGCACCCAGTGTGTTCAGAAGCTGACTAGTGGCTGGCCTGTACCATGTTGCTGAGACAGGAAATACTCGAGCATTCTCTTCAGAAAAATCTACCTTTACAAATGAACAAAGAGTTTAAAATCAGAAACTAGAAACAACGGTTACTTACGTTGAAGAATCATTCTCTTTGGGATAATCTTCACTCATTTCTGAACCAGGAGGTTGTGTTCTTTTCCTCTTTTCACTGATGACAGAAAATTTTTGAAGTGGTCATTCTTTCAGAAAGGCTAGTAAATGATCCTCTTCCAACTGAACAGAACTCCTCAATGCTTTCTGTGCATTTTGCACCTATCTTCCACAATCTCCACTTTCATAACATAGCATACAGAGAAGAATTTGGTCTGCCCAACTCTTAAGTTGTTCATAAAGCTCTAGTGCCAGTACCAGCCAGAGGCTAGAAAAGCACGTATTAACATCCTGTTAAAAGTAACAGCAAAACCAGAGGAAGAAATTCCCTTCTTACTTCTAGGTGTACTGAGTTCCACCTGCAGCTCTATGAAGAGCTAAATTTTAACAATCTCATAATAAGAGGATAACACTCCTACCGATTCTCCAACAAGCCCGTTCTGTGAGGGACTGAGGACGCAGGAGATGCTGAAATGTTCACCCTGTTGCTAGGTGTTCCAGTTCCAGCGGAATTCTTAACAGATGATCTTGCTGGGGTACCCAGCACCTTGCGAAACGGATTTTCCTCCTTACTTTCCACGGTCACTCTTTTGGGAGGAGTCTGCAAAACCCAAGTGGAGGGGGCCAGGGAGACAACCGAAACGGTGAAAAACATGACCACCTTTAGTCGAATCCAGCATTTACACCACTGCTTTACTTGCTACAGTGTAGCATCCAAAAGCAGAAAAATGCTACTTATACTAGATTAAGAGAGTTTAACGCTAATTAGACATAGGTAAAATTTTGACTGTATCGATGCAAGTCATAAACGTGAAACTCTACTGCAGTAACCAATTTCCCTTCTCATTTTCCAACGCTAAGTCAGTTGAACTTCAGTTTTTCATAGAATCATCATAGAATCATTGAGGTTGGAAAAGACCTCTAAGATCATCGAGTCCAACCGTCAATTTTAAAATCTCCTTTACATGCTTTGACGTTAAAAAACCCAAGGCATGATTCCTAACTATCCCCAGATCAATCCTGGGTGGCATTAAAAAAAAAAAAGCCGAATTAAAAACCACACAATTAGAACAGTGCCCTGACAGCCTTGGGCCAAGCAAGCGCCACATGTAACGCAATGGAAAGAGCTAACAGTTGGTTGACTAAGGAATGTTGGTCAATTTTAGACTTAAAAACTAAACGCGTCTAATCTCACCACTGTATACACAGGCTTAGAGTTTTTACTGTGAGACTGCCTTTAAGCAACATGTAAAATTTGTTTTGGGACAACGTCAAAAATATTCTCCCTCAGGGCAGTAATACAAGTCTCTTCACAGAGATAACGAAGTAAATTAAAGCCAGTAGATACACCACAAAATCTGTGTTATGCAGGGAGAAAAGGAAGAACAAAAATATTTTGAAGGAAAACCACTTTCGGGGAAAAGTCTGCAAAATTTACACAAAATTCTGAGCAGAATGCCACAAGTTCAGTAACTTTATTCTGATACAAAACTGGGTCAGCAGCTTTTCCATATATACATTTGGCTGAAGTCTGCTAAACTCATTAAGACCTATGCTGACTATAACATGTTCAGCTGCTACGTAAGGTGTTCAGTACAAAGAGATATTCAGAACTATGTGAGAAGCAAGTCTTAATCCTGTACTTTCCCTCTGTTTCTGCGGCTCCTCTGCCTGACTGACAGCTCAGCATGAAGAACATATTCTGTCTTCCACAGCCAGACACTGACCTTTCTTATTCATACAGAATATATGGCTCCTCCCGAGCAAGACACACCATTGCTAACCACCCTGTATACATCTATTCCAAGCCCTCTAGATCACAAAGACTTTGGATGCAAAATAAGTATTTACAGTGCTATTACAACATACAATAAAAGAACGAGAGGAGGAAATGAATGAAATAAAATTAAAGGAGAGGAAAAATTTGAACAATTAAACAAACCTGGTTCTCTATATAAGAGAATTGCCTATTAGCTTCCTTCTGTGTGGTCCTGCTGCCCAGCACACCTCCAAAGCTGCCAGATCCCTGAGAGGGTTTCCCAGCTGACAGGAAAAGTACACAACATTTGATTTGATTGTCATTTAACTGATTGGCATTCTTATTTGTAAGAAGTTATTTAGCTGGAGTTGATTTTGGAAGGGACACACTAGATTTCTTGCCAACAGACAGTACAATATTCTGAGTGCACAGACATAAGCACATGTTTATGGATATCCCTCATATTGGTCATTTACTCAGTTGGCAGTAAAGTTCCTACCCTTAAAAAGAACAAAATAAAATAAGAGGTAAAATAAAAAGGAAAGAGACTACGCATGAGTGATAAACAGGCAAGAGTTTTTCAAATACCAACATACTTACAACATAAACAATTCCTACGTGTTTAATCTCTGCTTATTGTTCAGCATGACAAAGATACATTATGAGAAAGGTATGTAACAAAAATTGGGGTTCAGGGCCAGAAAGAAGCATTTACACAAATGCAAAGAAAGGCAGTAACACAGGGAGGACAAAATGGCTAAAGATGAAAAAAAGAAAACACAGCACCGACCCCTCTCCAAACGGTTACTAACATGATTTACAACAATTGCACCTACCAGTATGAACCCTGTCTTGGTGGACTGCATCCAAATACATCCGCATTTCATTTGCGTCTTTAAATGGTACCTTATCAATTGTCAGGAAGCTGGTATCCTTTAGTGTTAGCATCAGGCAGCACAGTTTTCTACCATTTGGTCGTAAGGTCACAGTTTTAATGTTATGGCTTAGCTGAAAACAAGAAAGTGACTATAAACATAAACCCATTTTTAGAAGGGCAAAATACTCACAAATTCAAACAAAACACTTCAAATAGAGAGGGTAAGAGGCACTCTCACCGAAATACTTCTCCCCGCTCCATTTCGAGCAAACATTAAGCCTCACAGAATTAGTGCAATCGGTGATCTTGGAAGCTGATGGAACTGCAAGGACAGTATCACTAGAGCTCAACAGTCCCTATATTCCTGGATAAGCTTTCTAAAACTTGCTTTGCTATTGAGTGTGACATTTTTGAACGTAAAGGAATAAGAGCTTCACGCAGTCCCATTTAGCTGTCTGAAACGTCCACATCAAGTTTGAAACATAATTTAAGATGGAGAAGTTTAAAATGTTAAGTACAAACTTCTACTCACTTTATAATTTGCTCTCAGGGAAGACAGATTTGACATAGCTTAAAAAATTTGCTGAGGGAGTAAGTCAGTAAGAAACATGCTTAGTCTATATGCAACATTATAGCAATTAAGCGGTGTCAAAACTTTCAGGGTTATGGTCAAGCACAAGAATAATTTTAGTAAGAATTTGTGCTCCCTAATAATGCCGCTGCTACTTTATTATACCATTACTTAATGCTAAGTCACCTATAAGAGCTGGCTGTTCAGTAAAGGCTCTACTATCCATGCAGGTTGAGGGTAACTCCTAAAGCAGAGGAAGCAAAAGAGTATCTCGCATCTGCAGACTGCATGGAAGTTTGACAATACATACCCAAGCATATTCTCATTTTCAATTCCCTTGTCCCTTTCTGCTTAATTCTTCATTTTGGTGCCGCTTCTTTAGCCTTGCCTAAGATCAGGCACTAGCTGTTCAATGACCTCCATGCCAGTATATTGCTATACTCAGTGCTTCATACAAGATTGGAAACCACAGCCAAGGTCATTAGGCACTACACAAGACAGCGTAAAACACTGCCCATCAGATTGGAGTCTTCTCCTAATTTGGCCTGAACTGCATACTGCCACACTACCGATCTAAATAACGACGTTGAATTAATAGACATGAACACTAATTACACTCCAACGCCAAAGTTTTGCCATACATTGCTCTAGAACCTGTCTTGTCTCCTTCAAATTATACACAAGTTTAAAAATAACAATTATTCCCGATTTTTATTTAAATTTGTTCAGGTATATAAAAGACCGAGGTATTAAAAGGCACTCCATGTCCATCAGTGAGATTTCTTTTTTCCCATGCAGATCTCTAGCTTCTTGGACAGCCAATCTAGACACAACAGCAGTTTATAAGAGAGGCTGGAAAACCAGCTCAATCGGAAACTAAGGGTTTATTTTGCTGCGAAAATTACACTTCTGAAATACTTTGTGCTCAATCCTTGTGTTTTGGGGTTTCTTTTTTGGTGGGGTGGGTGGTTTGGTTTTTTTTTTAAAACATAAGCTAAAAATGTCTTCAAAGACCTAAGAATTGAAAAGGGCGCTCCAAATTTTTCATCCTCTCTTAAAACATTGAGCCCAGTGCAAAGGGATTACAGTTACTTCACCATCTCAGTGCAAAACAACCTATTTCAACTCAAAATGCTACCATGAGAGGGCTCCATCCATACTCTCCATGCACCTGTTATGACCCAGTCAGCCTCACAAAGTCTTGGGAGGTGGGAGCAAACGAAATATTTCTTTTAATACATATCCAGCATCTAGGACAACTTACTCAAAGCTCTGAAACATTAGTAAAACACATCATCTGACGTAAGAAATTCGATGATGCACCAGTCACTGTGGAAAGAAATAAAACCCTGGATCCATCCAAACATTCCATTACAGAAAAGTAAAAAAAGTGGAGGAAATCACCCGCAGCTCTCCCAGAGCAACTTGTCAAAAAAAGGGAATGCTACTTCTAAAGCAAAATTATCAGGAATTTGTCACGCCTGAAGTGGCACGCAAGAGCACTATGACAGGCTGGGGACAGCTCACACAAACTACACTCGAGCACAAGCCTGCAGCGCAAGGGGCAGGCAGCTCTCCCTGCCCGCTGCTCGCTCCCACCGATGCTCTTGTGCCAGTGTCCGCATTGCTTCAAGATGAACAGCACCAGAAAGCAGATCCTGCTGAAAAAGCAGATCCCGCTGAAAAATAACCACCATCCAAACAAAAAATAATTGGTCTAAAGATGCGGCATTTCCTCCTCCTCCTTTGCTGCGGTCCTAGCTGCATGGTGCCGTATCACTCCCTCTCCACCAGATCTCGCGTTCGGTCCTTTCCCTGAATTAATTCACGTGAAAACCCTCCACTGAGCTCACAGAGAGATCTGACGAGTGGCAGAGCCAGCAGATGTGAGAGGCTGGGAGCAAAACCTGCTCCTTTAGGCCACAGTTAGCTCTTCTATAGGCTCATCCTCCCCACAGAACCACCTTTTGAGTCACTGTCACACCATGTTAACACTTGTCCAGGCAGAAAGGAGCGTGTGAGAACAAGCACCCAGGGAAGGTATGAGGGGAAGAAGAGAGCACTCTTCTCGGAAGCAACATGGTCTGACGCTGGATTAAATCAAACATGCAGTCACAGCATCGCGCGCAAGAAGGCAGACGATTCTTTTCAAGTCTACAGTAACAGAGGTAGGAACTACCCACAGCTAATGATTTTCTCACGCCTTGATTCCAAGGCAACACAGGCTGCCAGATTCTTCGCAGAGACTTTTCAGCACACTAAGGCAGCAAAACCTGATCTTTCAAAAATAAAGTGAACTTTTTTTTCACCGAGTCCACACACAGAAATAAATGGCTCAGAGACAGGTCTGGCAAACACTACTGCTGAAAAACAACCTTACGACAAAGCGGAAGCCAACATTTAGATCAGTTTAGGCTGTTACAAAGTTGCTAAATAAGATAGGATTTTTTTTTTCTTCCAACTGCTCTCATATGCTCTACCTATTTTTAAATCAAGATAGAAATTTCTTACAGAAAAACACTCTTTTGCATTCTTTCAATTTGGGGCATTTTGCACAAAAAACTAGGAAGCTGAAAACAACTACAGAATGAAAAAAAAGGCAATTTAGGCTGAATATTGCAAGAGAATCTTTAACAGTGATCTGCATCAGCCTCCCAGTGAGGAAGCCACTTTGCCTGGCATATTTAAAACCTAAAACTGTAACAATTGCTGTTCAGCAGAGTCTTGTATAAACAAGGAAAAGGTTACAAGTGTGTTAACACCATTACTCTTCAGCTGGGAAAACTTCTAGTACAAAGTGTTCAGGATCTTCACCTCTAGATTCTGCAAATGTGCCAGTAATAGAAACATTCCAAAAATCTGAACACGTCAGCCACGATGCTATACACTTTGGTAACTTTTCTCTGCTTTTTGGTTCTTCCCATTCAGTGGTATCGTGATGCCAACCTTGGCAGATACTTTAACAATACACGTGAATAATTTACAGGAGAGTTACACAAAGGGATTAGTGTTCAGGAATTGAGGAACAAGAAACAGTGACAGAGGGAAGTTTGCATGACACTTAATAGCCTTGAAGAGGACAGCTGTTCACAAAAGAGCACAATTTATGCACTGCTCAAACAAAAGCCTTAATATTTGGTGTACCTGAAACGTCTTTGGAATTCCTCCAACATTGTAGTGAACCACTAGACTCACTTTGTTGTCCTTCTCCACAATTTCAAAGCTCCCTTCTTTCCATTTTGTAATCCCAGTCTGCATGCTGCGCATCCGGACAGGTCCATGCACCTTTAGCGGAGCCATGCTTTCTCACGGAAAAGAGCTAACAAGAGTAAGCGTACTCCACCTTAAAAACCTGTTAAAAAGGAGAAATTTGTAACTAGGCAGGCCAAAGAATCTCTACAGAAAGATGTGAGTGTGGCTTAAAGTTTCTGTAGAAGTTCGGTAGAACTGTTTTGGTGATATTTTTAGACAGTGAAGGAGAGTTAGACACAAGTCAAGGAAACTTAGATTAGTAAAATCTCTCCCAGTTTGGGCAGCAACGCGCTGATTTCTCACTGTTAAAAGGCGAGCAGACCCAATCCAGACACAGAAGTTCTTGCAAATCCTTAAAGCAACTTCAAC